TTAAAGGCTCCCTCCTGATCTTCTCTGCTTCCATGATTTCATCTTCTTGGTTCAAGATATATCCAACAGGGCCGTAAACGCCTTTACTCCCAAAGATGTTCGTATACATTGATTATTCATCAAAATTTACCAATTATTCTATTTCTTCCAATGCCATATTTGTGATCATTTGAAAAATTTTTTGTAAACATTTCAATTTGTTTGACAATCTATCGTTTACTTTCATTAGCTTTAAGCATAGGACATTTGCAAATTTGTGTGTTGCTCCATACTTGCTGTTGGCCATTCGCCTTAGTGTTACGCCTTATTTGTGTATCCCCGATTATCCGTAGGCTATTGGTGGTCGTTTATCCTTTTTTATTTATTGATAGATCGCCCATTTACCATGAATATCTTGCTGCATGCCGCATAATGTTTCATTAATCTTCATACTTGTGTCCTTATTTAGTACACGATAAGTGGTCCTGTCTCGTAGCATACATTCCATCTTCTTGGTGCATTGTTTTCCGTTCATTTATACTGCCGCTCCTTATTTCCTGCCTGAAAACTAATTGTTCATTCCTTTTTATAGTCCAGCATATTCTTCCAAATCTGTTTCTGTTTGTTGGCTCCTGATGTGTCGATATTACTGGAATAATTTCCATCTCCATTTCCCATTTTTTCTCTTCAGAAAACTTGTCTGCGATATTGATGACCTCCACCGGGATGACTTATATAACCTGTTTATCATTTTGAAGGGAAATTTAGGCCGATTCTTCCGGATCATAGTAGTTTCTGGATCAAAACGGACCGAGGATAAATTCACTACTTTATCCTGAGCGTCACAGTGATTAATAGGGGCTGTCACTTCGGAAACCACATAATCAAATAGATAAAGGAGGGCACGTTAAGCGGCAGGCATGATGATGCGACAATAAAATATGCTAAAATAAAACATCTTCTGGGGAGTGGAATACAAACAAATCAGAAGTTATCATAAGGCGGGAGTGTGATAAAAGGGTAGAGAGTGGCTAGATGGGTCATGTCATAAAGAGGAGTGATAGCACAACCAGTTGGTAAAAGGCTAGTCAAGGAATTGACTTGACTTGTCTTTTCGATTAGTTGTAACCTGGTGCTGAGAATGTCGGTGAAACGTGTGAATTGCACGGTCAATCGCCGGAAATTATGATAGCTACTATAGCAGAGGGCTTCGGACAAGGCGCATTCAGCTAAGTCGCATTGACAAAGCGACCAAGTTTAAAAAACTAAGTCAGACCACTTATATACATCGAAATTATATCTCGACCAAGGTATAGAAAACAACAACTCTTTAAAATTATACCCCAAGAAAACTCTACTCACAAATAAAAGCAAAAAAGTGTTTAATTAGTTTACTATTTATACAATTTGTTATATGGTACTTAAAGAAGTAATGACTAGCTTATCAACGAAGAATTGCCGATAAAACCTTATTTCGAATGGAGACCGACTCCATGGTACAACAAAAGACAGTCTTTACAGAATCTATACCGTAATTTTGATTTCACTTTTAATTAGTTTGTGACGAAACGAATTGAGATAGATAGCGCAAAATATTTAATACTAAATCAATCATTTTTCTGAAGTCAGCACAGACAAAATAGGCTAAACCTTTTGAAGTATCACGAAAAATGAGTTTTTTTAGCACTACTTAGAAACCTTAGAAGAGACTTTCCAAGAACATTAATAAAAAAATAAAGCTATTTTCTGTTGTAATTTTTTGCATTGCTGGTTAAACATTACTATAAGTGATTCTACCCCGGCAAATACATCTAATATTTACTTTTGCTTGGTTCACTCAGACAGTAACAATCAAATATAAAGAATTGGAATGGTTACAAGAGGACCCAAATCTTTTTCGTAAACATATGAAATGTTTTTTCATAAATTTTATAAGTATGGTAGATATTATCCTGTTTAAGGTATAATAATATTCTGCCTAAGGCCCTGGTTTCCTTTCATATAAAAAAAGGAATTTTATGAGATTTAATATTGGCCTTATAGTCTTTGGTAACGAATAATATATCTATACATTTTGAATGATGATGCACAGGCATCGTGCACTTATTGGATTGGTGTCTAAGCCAAAAGACTGCTGACAACTTACGCAAGCATAGCAAGAATGATAGCGAAATAGAGCTTGCCATCTTCATAGCTGGAAACCCACAAAAGACTGCTATGTTGCATAAGGCACCGCAACAGAGATATTTATTAAATAAATCATTTAGCTTAATCGAGGGTATGAAGTCCAAGATTGTGTGGTCTCTAGTATCGTCGCGATCTCCTTTTGTTTTAAAAAGTGGGTTGATCTCGTTTTACAACTTGGTCGTATTTTCAGGGAGAACTAGAGGAACGCATCTTGTCCAGAATCCATAGCATCCAATATAACTTCCAGCATCAGACCATGGACTTGATACATTTCCAGAAGCCTTGCTATCATCGTAGTCGGTATCTTCAGTGGGCCTTACCACTCTTAGTATCACAAATTATCTTCTAAGTTTGTTTACGAAATCAAGTTTCGAAATTAGAATCGATCTGAAATCGTGAGACAGAGTCTTCATTTTGGCTGGAGACTACAACCGGTATGCGCAAAGGAGATATGTTAACCTAACGGCTTAAACTAGAGCTCTCTGTGAAAAATAAAGTTATGGTATTAAAAATACTCATTTTAAACTTATTCGACCTCTAGATTTACTATGCGACTATGCAAGACTAGCAAATTGGTATTAAAGTAAAACTTTCCACTCATGTATTTCCTAGAAATGGTGTCGTCGAAATTGGTGTCTATTTGTGTACGAGCTTTATGAACAAATTATTATATAAGACTGAAGTGCTAAATGTCTATTTCTTCATTATTAAATTATAAGTATTAGATGTTACTTTTAACTTTAAATTAGCAGATTGAAGAAATTAATATATTACATTATAAGTGATGGTACCATATATTTTATTTTTATTGCCCTTCTATCTCTAGAGACCGATCAAAAGAGCCTGCCTTAACGCAATGAAGTTCATCGTTTCTATTGCAGAGAAGGCGAAGGATGAAACAGTGAAACCTGCTGAGGTTATAGAAGAAAGGAAGGCCATAAAAACAGAATCTTTTGGCTCCTCCGTTGGGATTATATTTTCATGTCTCGGTTGCGTAGTTGGAACAGGAAATATTTGGAGATTTCCTCGAATTGCTGCTCAGAATAGTTATGAGCAAGGCAAGGATAAGTTATCCAGAATATATTACAACCTTTTTATGCCTTAAAGACAGAGTTAATTAGTTATTTTTACTTACATTATAAGCTCGAACCAGCGAAGTAACATACAAAAAAAATATTTATAGATGAAAAGATATTATTGCTCAACCTATGTATACTACTGCCTTAGTGAAATAACTGATTAAATTCTGTTTTCATTATAACCCCAGTAATTTAATTTACCAATGAACCAAAGTTATATAACTTATGAAATGGCAGCAAACATTTTAACTTAATTTGGGTCCAAATTGCAAGCTGGAACTCGGCCACAGCCTCGTTTAATTATAATTCAGTGCAAGTTACTCCCTGCAATAGATATAAATTGAATAGGAGATGCTGCAACTTTAAAATAAAACAGTAATGATCTAATTCTTCTATTGGAACTAAAAAGAAGGCTGGCATCCTTGAAATAACTCCAAGAAATTTTATTTAAACATATAGTTTATCGAGCTTTAAGATAAGTGTAATGATTCTAAGTGTGTCATCCTAAAGAGTACAAATTAGTCCTCCAAAGCCCTTATACAAACCGCATAAGCACGGCTAAATAATCCTATATTTTTTAGGGAAACATGCTTGTTAATTCAAGCAAAATTCAAGTACGTATTACGGTTCTATTTTGTTTAACCAGTCCCTTTAAGCATTTTCTCAGTATTTAAGATTTAGCTTTTTACTTTACCTAAAGTTTACTTAAATGCTCTTTTGGTTATTAAACAACACTACAGCAGTAGGAAAATACCATATGATCTTAAATTGGCGTAAAGCTTCTATGTGATCAAGCTAACAAAACCCCATAGTATTTTATTCTTTTTCAAAAATTATGATCAATGGAATTTTATGAATTATGCAAAGGTGTTTTAAAGAGCTCATATTCTCTGCTTTATTAAATATAAAATAGAAGTACTTAATATCATCTCAAACTGCTACTTCGATTACCTCAAATATAGGCAAATTGACCTCTCTCATCTGGTCCATTAACAGATAGCCCCTCTTTACAAAGCTGCGGGCCATCATCAGCTGTAGCTAGACGATAATACTTATGTTAGCTTGTGTAGATTTTGTATATTTTCTTCTATTCCTAAAAGAGCACAATTTTATATAATTTAAGTAAACACTACTAAATAAAAATTGTGTATGGCAGGATACTCGGACTAGGTTTTGCAACTTGCCCACAATTTGTATCTTGCAAAGGTAATATTTCTATCTTGGACTAAATATGTGAATCTTAGATACGAAACCAACCAGATAATATGGATTTACAACCCATTTGGATAAAAGTAAGGTCATCAGTACGGTGTGAAAAATCAACGAAGCCCAATGCACCGAGCCAAATACTGTTAATGAATCCGACATTGAGGTTATATTACACTTATACCTTGCTATTGGCCAATATCACCATAATTGACTTTTTTCCCAATCGACTTCAAAATGTATTTTAAGTGTTTTAGAGGTTCTTAATACAAATATAGAAATTAGAATATCAAACCTTCAAAGCTTCAACTTTGTACAACCTTTATATGAAATATTTAAGATGGTTAAGCAAAAATGAAGTTACTCTCTCTTTTGACAATTTAATATGATTTTGGCTCAGGTGGCTTAGTCTTCCTGATTGCCTGGGCTATCTGCCTTTTTCTCTGGTCCTCTCCAATAATTACCATCGAGTACAGTCTTGGACGCTTCACACGAGTCTCACCGATAGTTTCGGTCTACAAGTTCCTTGGTCGCTACATGATTTGGATTGGTAGCTGGATCACAGCTGTTACAATGATTGTCAGGTAAGCTCTGGACACCATTATTTCGCGTGAAAAGAGCTAATTTATTCGCCAAGTTGAGTGGAATTGCTTACTTAAGAGCATTTTTTATAAATTCAACTCTACAGAATTATTTAGTAGGCAAGGATATATAAATTCGTTGATCTGAAATCAAGGCTATTGTGGGTGCAGCAAAGATAACTCACTCATTAATTACGTTAATTAAAGGCTTAGATCTTGCCATATCTCTATACAAATTAGTTTTACTATTGTAAAATTGACCAGGAATGCCATAATATAAATGATTCTGGGTACGGTCTCAAGAAATTTGCTTTTCAGTTCTGGTATGTGGTGCATAAAATTGGCCGAAGAAAGTTTTTATTTAGCTTGATGATTAATTAAAAGCACACCATACAGGCATCACTTTTCAGAGCAGCTAAAAGTTAGGAAGAATGTCGACATAGGTTGAAATCGGTATCCAAATCTTGCCTAAGATTTGATGAAAATTACTCACTAAAGCTGTAAATTATTGAATAAGTAAATACAGCGGCTAAATTGCTTTTAAGTGTTTTATAAATATTCAGTATGCTGATTAGTGCATATACTTAAGGCAGTTTGTGGGAATTCACTAAATTTAGCAAATACTTTTAAATCTAGGTTTGCTTACAAAAAACAGAAATAAAGCCTCAATATAGTTAAGGTTTTTCTTTCTTTAAATTTATACCACTAACTCTTTATTACGGAGATTGCCATGACCTGGTATATTACTAGTCGTCGTAGCTTTAATTTTCACATAATTTGCATACAGGGAATGCATACGCATGTCAAAGCAATTACTCATACTTCCTTAATTAGCCAGTTTGATGCCTGTATGACCTATTCAAACATGTACTTGTCGTTTTGGCATTGGAATTATCAATGCCTAAAGCATCACTTTAACAAAGGTCAAATTATTCCTCTAGGCCTTTGTATGAATGATCATCAATAATTCACATATAATTAATGAACATTGATGATTATTTTTATACTGGAACGGCCATGTTATTTTGTCTGATTAAATCTACTACTCGTTATTGCCTCCATAGAACAGCATGAGACCTGAACCACATCTAGCAGTGCTTGATTCGCAGGCGGAATGCATTTGTAGTTTGGAGTTGATAATTTTCCACCAAAATATCAAACACAAAATCATTGGCCCGCCACATTGATCATGAATGGATGGCCTAACCTTACGTGTTTCTACAAATGGGATACAAAATGGGCTTGCTCCTAATTCCAAATGAGCCATCTTCGAAGTATTCATGCAAGGTGTAGTGCCATAAAGCACCGGTAAAGCCGTTATTCAACATTTATGAGCTATTTTTTACATCTAATTTACTAAAAGATTTTCGGAGACCTCTTGCTATTTGCTCTGCTCTATGCTCAACTCTGCCAGATCGAATATACTAACCCCTTTTCCTCTTAAGCACGGCTTATGTCTAGGCTGTCGGCTCTTTTCCATTTCACCAAAAGGGACCAGTTGTGTTCGGCTAAAGAAATTACATTCTTAAGGCTATTGACTTCCTCCAAAATTCTCAAGTCAGGCCCCATAAATAATAATTTAGTGTTAACTTGAGAATTTAAAAAAAATGAGTCTCATCTCTGATGATGTCCATCATTTGATGAACTAAATCTCAGACCGTTTTTACCTAAAAAGAGGAAGGTCTCGTGGACTGCATCAATCTCAACATCGTATAAATGTCAAAACGCTGCAGTACAAAGGGATTC